TTGGGTGAAGAGAAGGGCAATGTACCAAATGTGAGTGATCAACACGGTGGCATTGAGGAAGAGGAAGACAGAGCGAGGTACATGGGAGGTACAGACAACAAAGATGAACCCTTCTGCACATACAGTACTGCGCTGTCAGTGAAGGCAAACATGGATATTCGGGTGGATAGATGTGTGGACAGGCTGAACTATTAGGTATGTCTATGCAGGGTGGAGTGTGCCCAAGACCATGTATAGGGTTGACAAACAATGTTTCTACATGTGTCTTGCTATATTCTGCAAGAATTCCCAGGGGTATAGTAGAGCTGACAAGGGACAAGGCTGTAGTAGTCACTTCTTGGGCACAGCTAGCTACCCAGAGGGAGCAAGCAGCTGGACCTGTTCACTAGGGACCATAGTCACAGGGGACTTTAAGCTCAACTGGCATAACATACTACACAAAACACTGTTCCATCCCCTACTTTGGCGAGTAGCAACCAGGACCTTAAAAGCTTGTAAGCAGCCATCTAGACGCAATGATGGGTCTCTCCTTGTCCAGAGCAAAGAAGAATGAAGAAAACCAAAGGTTCATGGAAACAATTAGTCTAAGTGACTCGTACACCATGCAATCCTCAGCCTATACAACTATGAGACCAGAAGAACTACATGATGCCTGGCTACCAATGTCAGCCGCTCAGAGGGGGATCTATGTAGAAGATCCTGGATAGAGAGGGAGAACAATGTGGAACAAAAGTCAAAATCATTTGAGAAAAAAAGAGACTAAATTTGCTGTCTTATATAACCTGATGGAATCACTGAGACTATGGGTCCTAGCTGTCCTTCAGGTCTGGAATTAAACCCATACCTGTGGCTTCTAGCCAAACAAAAGAAAGGCATATGAGGTGAACCTTTACACTAGGTAGATACGCTCCTTGGAGAGAACAATCATGGGAGAATAGAAGGGTTGTTAATGCACAGGGAGACAGCTTAGGGGGCAGGAGTGCATGGAGGGATGGACACATGGAAGAGGTAACTGCAGGGAGGAAGTGGGAGGGGAGCTGTTGCATTGTGGTAAATTGTAGTTAATGTCATGAGACAAAGTGTATGCAAACTGCTGTATAGAAAGTGAATTTGCTCTGTAAACTTTCACCCAAATCAAAATTAAAAGAAAAAAAAAAAAAAGTAGATTCTGACACACAGTGACCCTATGGGATAGAGTATAATGGCACCATATGGTTTCCAAGGCAGCAGCCTTTTCAGAAGCCGAATGCCACATCTTTCACAGAGAAGCTGGCAGGTTTGAACACCTTTCTTTCAATTAGCACCCCAGTGCTCCTTCACCACCAATGCTCCATTCTGCACCACCGGATGACACAGTGAACAAAAACTGAATTAGACTCTTAGGCTTCTTAGGAGTTCCCACACACCAGATAACCAATTCTGGGAAGTGATCAACAGGAACTTGAAACCTTTCCTTATTAACTAAATCAAACTAAGTAAATTTCAAATGACTGTTTTTTTCATACAAGTTCAATCCTAGGTTGTGACTCAATCGTCCTAGGCTCTTAAATTCATCAACTTACATGACTAAGACATGAAAATGCTTACGAAAATTCAAGAAGATACTCAGTGAATAAATTCACTTATTTTAGATAAGGATTTGGCTGTAGCAGAATCATAGGGGGCGTGTTTTTTTTTTTTTTTTTTTTTAAATATACACTAAACCCAAATCGCTACAAATGGGGCCTAGGGATTAGCATTTTTATTTAAACAACAAGGAAAGTAGGCTAAAATAAATAAATAAATAAAAAGCCGGGTAATGCTGAACGTAATGAGATTTGAGAACAAGTATAAAGGAAGATCACGAGGTCTCTTCCTGTTTAACGTTCCGGTGGACACTATAAATGAATTTCCCAGAAAAGAAACGCGGGAGGATCCCAACACCAGGCAAAAGGATATGCATTCGGAGTCCAAGCCGATCGTACTCTCAATTTTACTAAAAGGCCCCTCACAGGAACAGTGATAGATAAAGGGACGTAAAGTGCTATGGTGTTCACGATACACTTCTGGCTAAAAACAAGTGTGCCTTATTTCTAGATTTTCTGTCACCATGAGTAGAAAGAAACTTTTCCTGACTATAAATACATGTGGTAATGTGACTGAAAGATAAGCTGTATTTCTAAGCCTCGGGTTCCTCTTACGTTCCTGCAAGAGTTGCAGGAAAACTCAAAGGTGTGGCCTGTCTGCTCCACGGCCAAGTGAATCCGTGTTGGCAGAGGAGGTGTCAGCTCTGCAATTACACCTCCATGTACCGTATTACCACAGAGGACCCGTTTCCCACATACCTGAGGGTCCTCTGGTAAGATTGATTTCTTCCTCAGTGATCAAATAATTCACTCTTCCGTTCATGTTCTAGTGTTCTCCACGTTTCCCACCTGGGTCAGCAAGGACTTTGCACAGGTGAAGGTGAAACAATCTTAGCTCCGTAGCACTTTCGGTTTCAGCAGCCTTCAGACCGGAAGAGGAAGCCACGAGCACTAGGAGCGCTGGGAATGTTGGGAGTCGTGGTTCTCGGGGCCGACTTATTCCGGTGTTTCTCTCGGTCCTCAAAACGAAATGTGAGGTGAGCAGAGAGCACATTAGGATGCTAATTTAATGTGGAAAGCGTAGGGGAGGCACAGTAAAGGTAAGAGGCATTGATAAATTGATATTACTGAGGAAAAGTTAAAAATAAAATCTCCTGCCAACCCAGGAAGACTTATCCACAAATGTAGAGGGAGGAAGATTTATTATTTACTAAGCATTAAACCAAGAGCTCTGGTAGCACAGTGCCTAAGGCACTTGAGTGCTAACCAGAAGGCTGGCGGTTCAAACCCACCAGCCACTCCTCGGAAGGAAGGTTGGGCGATCCTACTTCCATAGTGATACTGCCTCGGAAACCCAAGGAGGGGTCGCTATGAGTTGGGGCCGACTCGACGGCAAATAACAACAACAAGCATTAAACTAGACAGCCATAGTCATCACAGTCAGTCCGCTAATGAGATTGCAAGGACGGAAAGAAATTTCAGTCTTACACAGCTAAGCAGATAGAATCCATTACATGCATGTTCTCATGTCAGAGAACAAGTTGTGCTACTTAACTGATCTTGTCCAAAAAGTTGGGGTTTCAAACCCACCAGCTGCTCCCTGGGAGAAAAATGAGGCAATCGGTTCAGTTCCACCTTATCCTATAGGGTGGCTAGTAGTGATACTGCCTCAAGAAGGGGTCGCTATGAGTCGGGGCCGACTCGATGGCACATAACAACAACAACTATCTGGATGACAAGCAGGTACTTAACAACTCAGAGAAAGGAAACTAGACTAATAATAAATAATAATAATAATAAATAGACTAATAATAATAATGGTGAGGGGCATTATCCTCCTCCATGTTTACATTTCAAAGAGTTGAAAACATTAGTGGCTTAACCCAACAAGAGACTTGTTTGTTGTTTGTTGTTTTTAGCTGCTGTCCAGTAGGCTCCACCTCATAACAACCTGCACCATCCTCACAAACCTAGGTATGCCCATTGTTGGAGCCACTGTGTCAATCCATCTCCTTGAAGGTCTTCCCCTTTTTCAATGACTCTCTACTTTGCCAAGGACAATACCCTTCTCCAGGGTCTGATCCCTTCTGACAAGGTGACTGAAGTAGGTGAGACACAGTCTGGCCATTCTTGCTTCTAAGGGGCCCTCCAGCTGCACTTCTTCAGGACAGATTTGTTTGATTTTCTGGCAGTCCATGGTGTTTTCAGTATTCTTTGTCAACACCACAATTCAAAGGCATCAACTCTTCTGTCTTCCTTATTTATTGTCCAGCTTTCACATGCATATGAGGCTATTGAAAATACTATAGCTTTGGTTGGGCACACCTTAGTCTTCAAAGTGACATCTTTGCTCCTTAATACTTTAAAGAGGTCTTTTGCAGCAGATTTGACAAGTGCAGTACTGCATCTGATTTCTTGACTGCTGTTTCCATGGATGTTGATTGTGGATCCAAGTAAAAGGAAATTCCTGACAAATTCAATCTTTTCTCTATTTATTATGATGTTGCTAATTGGTCCAGTCCACCAGCCACTCCTCGGAAGGAAGGTTGGGCAATCCTACTTCCGTAGTGATACTGCCTCGGAAACCCAAGGAGGGGTCGCTATGAGTCGGGGCCGACTCGACGGCAAACAACAACAACAACAACAACAATTGGTCCAGTTGTGAGAATTTTTGTTTTTTTTATGTTGAAGTATAATCCATACTGAAGACTGTAGTCCTTGTAGTCCAGTGCTTCAAGTCCTCTTCACTTTCAGCAAACAAGGTTGTCATCTGCACATCATAGGTTGTTAATGAATCTTCCTCCAATTTTGATGCTCTATTGCTCTTCATATAGTCCACCCTCTCCAGATTATTTGCTCAGCATACAGATTGAATAAATATAGTAAAAGGCTGCAACGCTGACACACAGCCTTACTGATTTTAAACTATGCAGTATACCCTCTTCTGTTTGAATGACAGCCTCTTGGTCTAGGTACAGTTTCCTCTTGAGCACAAGTAAATATTCTGGAATTTTCATTCTTCGCAGTGTTATTCATAATTAGTTATGATCCATGTAGTCAGATGCCTTTGCATAATCAGTAAAACACAGGAAATCTTTCTGGTATTCTCCGCTTTCAGCCAGGATCTGTCTGATATCGGTAATGATAGCCCTTGTTCTACATCCTCCTCTGAATTGAGTTTGAATTTCTGGAAGTTACTTGTCAATATATTGGTGCAGTCATTTTTTTAAAAAATTGTGATTTGGGTGAAAGTTTACAGAGCAAATTCACTTTCCACACAGCAGTGCACATACACTTTGTCTCATAATATTGACTGCAGTTCCCCACAATGTAACAGCTCCCCTCTCACTTCCTCCCCACAGTTACCTCTTCCTTGTGTCCTTCCCTCCATGCACTCCTTCCCCCTGAGCTATGTCCCTGTGCATATATAGCCCTTCTATTCTCCCATGATTGTTCTTTCCAAGGAGTGTATCTACCTAGTGTAAAGGTTCACCTCATATGCCTTTCTTTTGTTTGGCTGGAAGCCACAGGTGTGGGTTCATTTCCAGACCTGAAGGACAGCTAGGGGCCATAGTCTCAGTGGTTCCATCAGGCTCTATCAGACCAGCAAACCTGGTCCCATTTTTTGTTTGTTTGTTTTTTCAAATGAGCTGCAATAATTTTTGAATGATCTTCAGCAAAATTTTACTTACATATGATATTGTTCAATACTTTGCACATACTGTTGGGTTACCTTTCTTTGGAATAGGCACAGATAGGGATCACTTTCAGTCTGTTGACCAGGCAGCTGTCTTCCAGATTTCTTGGCATAAATGAGTAAATGCCTCCAACCTGCATCCATTTGTTGAAACATCTCAATGGGTAGTACATCTCAATGGGTAGTCCGTCAATTCCTGGAGTCTTATTTTTCTTAAGTTCCTACTTTTGCCTTCAGTACCACTGGTTTATGATCATATGCTACCTCCTGAAATAGCTGAACATTGACTAGTTCTTTTTGGTACAGAAACTCTGTAAGTTCCTTCCACCTTCTTTTGATGCTTGCTGCATTGTTCAATATTTTACTCATAGAATCCTTCAATAAGTCAAGGCTTGAACTTATTCTTCAGTTTTCTCAATTTGAAAAATGCTGGGCTTGTTCTTCCTTTTTGGTTTGGTCACCAGGTCTTTGCACATTTCATTATAATACTTGACTTTGTCTTCTTGAGCTGTTCTTTAAATCTTCTGTTCAGCTCCTTCACTTCATCATTTCTTCCATTCGCTTTAGCTACTCTCCTTTCAAGAGCAAGTTTCAGAGTCTTTTCTGACATCCATTTTGGTCTTTTTTTTTCCTTTCCTGTCTTTTAAATGACATTTTGTTTTCTTCATGTATGATATTCTTGATGTCTTCCTACAACTCATCTGGTTTGCAGTCATTGGTGTTCAGTGCATCAAATCTATTCTTCAGACAGTCTCTAAATTCAAGTGGGGTATAATCAAGGTTGTATTTTGGCTCTTGTGGACTTGTTTCAAATTTCTTCAGCTTGAACTTGCATATGAGCAATTGATGTCTGTTCCACAGTCAGCTCTTGGCTTTGTTGTGACCAATGATACTAAGCTGCTCCATTGCCTCTTCCCACAGATATAGTCAATTTGATCACCGTGTATTCCATCTGGCTAGGTCTACACGTATATAGTTGCCATTTACATTGTTGAAAAAAGGTATTTGCAATGAATAAGTCATTGATCTTGCAAAATTATATCACACATTTGGTGAGTAGCTTAAAATCTTAAAATCTTGCAAGTTGCCTTCTAAGATGAAACAATTGGTTTCTCTTTTTCCACAGCAAAAAAGAATGAAGAAAATCAAAGATACGTGGAAACAATTAATCCAGGGGACTAGTGGACCACACAAACCTCAGTCTACATGACCTTGAGACCAGAAGAACTAGATGGTGCCTGGCTACCACTATCAACCACTTGGAAAGGGATCAAAACAGGAGATCCTGGATAGAGTGGGAGAAAAATGTAGAACAAAGCTCAAAATCATAAAAAGGATCAGGCTTACTGGTCTGATATAGACTGGTGAAACCCCCAAGACTTTGGCCCCTAATCATCCTTCAGGCCTGGAATTGAACTCATTCCTGTGGCTTCCAGGCAAACAATTGTTGTTGTTGTTGTTTGCCGTCGAGTTGGACCCAATTCATAGCGACCCCTCCTTGGGTTTCCAAGGCAGTATCACTACGGAAGTAGATTGCCCCGTCTTCCTTCTGAGGAGTGGCTGGTGGATTTGAACCGCCAGCCTTCTGGTTAGCAGTCAAGTGCCGTAGCCACTATGCTACCAGAGCTCCCAGGCAAACAATAGATAGGTGTATATGGTGAACATTTGTACCAGGTAGGTAGACTCTTTAGAACAATCAACCATGGAAGATCAGATGGGCAGTGTTTACACAGGGAGATAGCTCAGAGGGCAGGAATGAATAGGAAAGGAGAACACAGGGAAAGGTAACCACAGGGAGGAGCTGAGAAGAAAGCTTTTACATTATGGGGATTACAGTCAATGTCATGAAACAAAATGTGTATGAGCTGTTGAATGGAAAATGAATTTACTCTGTAAACTTTCACTCAAATCACAATGTTAGAAAAAAATTATATCATGTGATCTCCAGTGTCATTTCTATCACCAAAGTCATATTTTCCAACTACCGATGATTCTTCTTTGTTTCCAGCTCTTGCATTCTAATCACCAGTAATAATCAATACATCTTGATTGGTCAATTTCAGACTGCAGAAGTTGGTAAAAATCTTCAGTTTCTTCATCTTTGCCTTTAGTGATTGGTGCATAAATTTTAATAACAGTAGTACTAACTGGTCTTTTTTATAGACATGGATATTATCCTA